GGCCGGTGCGGGCAGCGGCTGACCGGGCTCCCCCGGCAACCGCGCCGCCGTCTCCATGGCAACCGCGCCGCCCGGGACGCGCTGCGCGTCGCCCGCCGATGACGTCACCATCCGCGGCTATTAAAGGGACTGTGAGGGGGCGGGGCCTCCCCGCGTCGCGGAGGGACGACGCGCTCCTTAGCAACGCGGCGCGCGGCGGGGCTGGTTGCTAGGGCCGGCCATGGACGCCCCCGCCCGGCCGTGGCCGCCGCCGGTGGGAGTCTACGCGGAGGAGCGGGAGCTCTTCCGGCTCCTGCAGGTGAACGAGCCGCGCCTGCCCCGGGGGCACTGCGGGGCTCCCTTCCTCCCTCTACCTACCCCGGGGGGTGGAGGGGGGCGGTGAGAGGCAACTGCCGGCCTGGTCATGGCGGGGGCGGCCCGGGTTTCTTAAGGCCTCCGCCGGCGGCCGGGTGTCCCGCGGGGCGGCTCGTCCCGGGGGCAGGCTCGTCCCGGGGGCAGCGCCGCCGCCATTTCCCCCAGCGGCCAGGACCGGGCTCCTTTGGGAAGGGGCGGACGGGTGGGTGACCTCGTCTGAGGGAAGGTGCACCGGCCGAGGGCTCTCCTAATTAATTATTTTAATAATAGCCTGGCGGTTACTGGGGTTCGTACAAGTTTTTTGGGTTTTTTTTGCGGAAGAAGGTGGCAGCCTGTGGAGGAAAGGGGTCGAGTCGAGGCGGGTTCGGGCGGAGGGGGCGGCGGTGACAAATCGGAGCGGGCAGAGGCGAGATGGAGGGTTTTGCCCTCCCTGAGGCGGGGGCTGCTGAGGGGACACAGCGCAGCCCCTCTCCAACCCTTTCTCCGTCCGTTCCTGCTGCGGCCGTGGTTTGTCTGTGGAGATGTGTGTCAAAAATAAAGAACAAGAAGTGTGCTTCTAACATCGTTGTGATTTCGGTAAATAGCAAGGTTGGTTTCCCTGCCTTAGAGAAAGGTACGTTTTGTTCTATAAGTGTGGAAAAAGCCTTTCTGTCGAGCAGGGGGAGGTTTGTGCCAGGGACTAAATATTCCGGTGCAGTTCTGTTAGAACTTGTTGGAGAAACTCCCTCTGTGTTTTGGTGCTAACTCTACTTATAACTCAGATTTGTAGGTACAAGGCCTTTTTACTTTTTCAAATCTCACTGGAAAACACACAAATACTTATTTTCCCTTCCTTTTCTTATTGCTGCTCTCCTTTTTCATGTAACTTCAAGGCCGTTTGGTATGACCAGTGTGGCATAATTGTGGGTTTTCCTAACGGAAAGGCTGTGTTTTGCATGCCATGAGGCATCGATTGCAGCTGTAGGTCCTCATGTTACATAAAATGCCTGTGGGATTTATAGAGTGTTTGGTTTTTTTTTCATGCTTCAATTGTATTGTAGCAACATAATGGTAAAAACAAACACAGCTTGAAATTACTGTCCTAAACTTAAACATTTACAAAACCCGAGACCCAAACTGTGAACTGCCCCAGAGATTAACAGAGATGCTTGTGTAAAATTAAACTCAATAAAATGAAGCGTGCATGGAAGTGCAGGTAGGACTTGGGCATGAAATAGCAAAAGTATCAATCACTGTCAGCCTGAACAATTTTGAATCGTAATTAGACAAGATTTTCTAGGTATTTGATTTTTAAAGTTGCTGATAATTGTAGTGCCAAATTCTGTTTTTCTTAGTTTAAATAAATGTTGCTGGAAAGTAATGATTTTTAAATTAACTCCCAATAAAAATACAAATTTTATACATTATGCTATATGCTACCTAGACCTTGAAGCATCAGAACTTGAATGTGAAACAGTTTGTAAACAAAACTGAGTGTTTTAATTATTCTAATGAAGTGGCTGAAGCAGAAAATGAAAATAGACCACTCCAATAAAAAACAATCAATTGGTTAGAATATAAAATTTTATGGAATATAAAGACTTTATGGAATTTACTTGCAAATATTAAAGTGTTATGACTGATTTTTAGAAAAAGACATCCTATTCCAGTGTGAGCCTTTCAGTAGGTAATCTAAGTCAGAACATTAGCTGCTATTTGATGTTTAGTTTAATTGCAGAATTCTTGGCTGTGCAGAAGTGTCTTGTAAGAAAATCTATGGAGTTAGTGTTTCTCAGTATTATTCCTTTCTGTGCCTGTAAAGCTGCAAACCTCACTGCAATCAGCAGATCGTGGGAGCTGAAGCAAGGCCGTGTATAACCTCAAACATTTAATATGAAAATGGGCTTCAAAACAGACATTCAAGGAAATGCTTTAAGCCTTTTTCCCCTTCCTCCCCCTTTACTTTTCATGTTGGAGGCAGACTAGTGCGGTTACAAAATTGAGATGTGCTGCTTTTGTGGCTTTGACTGGTTGATGGTTTTGTGTTTTCTGCAGGTCTGTCTGTTGTGCAGTCCCCTAGGCTAGTCAGAAGCTTGTGGGAATGTGCTTGAGAAGGAAGTTTAACTTGCCCTGCAGAGATACTAATTTAAGTTGACTCTGGTTTTGAAACTCCTTGTGTGGTTTTTATGTCAATGCTGACTCAACCATTATTAACACCAGACTGGTCAAGCCAAACCTTTCTGGTGTCTCTGTGTATCATAAATAAGTTAAAGCAAAGGGCTTTTTTTTGGTTGTTATTGGCAATTTTCTGACCATGCTTTACTTCAGTTTTTCAGCCTCTAAAATAGGTTTTATAGTCTCAATTTTGTCTATGAGAGGGAGCTTAAGAAAATAAATAAGCATTTATAAGCTCTTTAAGATCCTCATTGCTGTAAAATTGTAACATTGCTGTAAAAATGCAGTATATCATGACTGCATAGCTGGGTTGAATTTTCCTCTCACTTTGTCCTATTTATTTTCAGAACATGCTTGAAGAACTATTAATTCATAAGCCAGATGATCCCATCCAGTATATGATAAACCATTTAAAGCAAAACAACGATGATGGTAAGTGAAAACTGAGACACCATAAATAGTTCAATTCCTTATTTGTAAACAGCTGTTTGAAAGCTGCGCTTCAGTTGGCAAATGATGGATAAAACTTTTCAGACTGTGTCTTGAGGGGGAAAAAAAAAAAAGAAAAAGGTGAGCGTTTTGGAATAGTTATAGGTAAGATGCTTTTAATTTCTTTTTTTAGTGGGTAATCTAATAAAAAATGCACTTTAACAGTTATAACAATGAAACCCTCTAAGGGAATAACAAAGAGTTCTAGTGTATCAATTATTAATGTGTTCTGTGCCCCATCTGATATTTCCTGTTGTCTTTAAGCTCGCTAATTACTCCTTTTGTCAGGTGTAAATTTGGTTTCCTATTCTACCTGGGCTGGCAGATTCTCTGTTTTTTTGATTAGTTAGTTACTATCTGCTGTTAATGAGTTCCACTGCTCAGTGGCATCTCAGATGAAGGAACAGTGAGCATGCCTACTTGTGTGTATAACAAAACCTAGTAAATTGAATAGGAAGTCTGTATCCTGCACAATAAAAGCATGTACACTCAATCAAATTATTTGATTTACAAACTGTTCACCCTTAGGCAGATTATATTTGGATATGCACAACTGAACTATAATTTTTGTTCTGCGTGAGCTGTCAGGGATAGCTGGTGTCATGTTGCTTTGATGTTTCTTTAAAACCATAGTAAACCATTATGAAAGTTCTGCTGCAGCATCAACGAAATCATTATCACTAGAGGTGCTGTGAGCTCTTAGTGGTGGTGATCGGATGGATGGTGATTGAAATGCTGCTAAATATAAAAAAGATTAATAATCAAATCCTGCAAATTGTGTCCAGCCTTTTGTGATGCAGACAGCGTGAGTAATCAATCTGTTTTATAGACCTGTGGAAAATATGTGGAAGAATTTCATGCAGTTTGATAGAACGATGATAAAATTTTTCACATTAGGCTAACATTTGTCCTTAAGCCCCACAGTATTATTTGAACAAAATTAGGCAGGTTTCCATTTCGTGACTTCAGTACTTAGAGGCTAAAGATAGAACTACAGCAGTTGTTTGTCAAAGGAAAAATGCTGTCTGCTTTTGGTCTGGAAAAACCTATTAAGAAAGGAAAGGAACTCCAATTAAAATTAAAGCCTAAGTGTTGTTTTAAGAATAAATTATACAGAAAATAATGTAACAGAAATCTGTAGCAGAGTTGATTTTACTTTTTGATCATGGCGGAAGGTGCTGACTATTTAGAAGAAAAAAAAACCTTATTAGAGCCATCAGTAAAGCGATGAATTTTCATGATCTTGCCTTGCTAGACAGTTTTAGCCCTAGAGAAAATTTCAAACAGAGATGTGTGGAAAGGAAACATTGCATCTATCCCAGGTGTGAAGTTAGAAAACCTTTTTAATTAATAATAGGATCTAAAGTACTCTTAAAAATATAAACACGTCTAATGATGATTATAGCTTACAACTGTCTTGAAAATTCTGTAGGTCGAATGTGTGGCTAAGTCTTTGTGCTTAAGGCTTTCTGCTTTTGTTCTTTCATGTGGCCCTTTTAAAAGCCTTGAAGAACCATATGAAGACTGGTAATTCTTTCATATACAAAGACGCTAGTTTTCTACATTGTATCTTGGTTTGTGCTAATAGAAAAAGGCTTTCAGGATCCAAGCGGCATTTCTGTGAGTTCTTCCTTTACAGTCAAACCTCTGAAGAAACATAAAAAGTTCTGCAAGAATGTTCATCGTGTACTATGTGCTTTCCCTGTTTGACAAAGGATTTCTCTTACAAGTTAAGCAAATTTTTGTCGCATTAATATTAATCATAGAATCTTTTGGGCTTAAATGCAACTCACTGAGCCCAGCTGTTCTTTTGTGTTATTCCAGGATTAATTTTGTTCCCACTAAAATAATTGTTGAATGTTAAAACTTTACGTGGAAGAGTAAATCCTGCAACATCTCATCAAGACTAAACACAGAATGAAATACGATTTGTTACTGAAAAAAATAGAAATTACTAATTTTCTAGATTTTCCTGATTTCATTTCACTGCTGGTTCAGACGTCCAGTATTAAATACTGACTATTTGCTGATTGGAGGGGGTTAAACATTACATACAGTGGTGTCCTGGTTGTGCCCTTGTGTCATATGTTTAGGGAGAATGCTTTAGAGGAGTCTTACAAGTGTGCAAATGAGTAAATCAGTGAATTACACTGCCCCATCTGCTGCCAGCCACTAAGCAGAGAGAAAACCAGATTTAGTACAAAGTGAGCATTTACAGTAGCCCTGGGCAATATTAAAGCATGATATGGTGTATATAATGGTATGTTTCGTTTTTTATCAAACGTTTGTCCAAGAAAGCTGTGTATTAAAGCTTCAATACCTAAGGGTTTTCTTGTGAATTTTAAATCATGCTCCTAGTTAAACCTCAAAAGGATCTGTGGATGGAAAGGTTTTTTGATTTTCTTTGAAGTGGTTTGAAGAAGTTGATTAGTGTTGGCACCCGAGCACTCTTTTATGACGCTGTTTATAAATAATTCCTAAGTACCGGGCTGGAGTTTCAAGGTGTTAGATTAAAAAAAAACCCTAGGATTTAATCACATTACATTTGAAAGAAATTAGGTGATAAAAACAGCTGATGTATCCTTTTAAAGTATTTTTCTACATTGTGTACTAGTTCTGTTGCACTTGCAAGAACCAATAAGGGGGGAGTTTTTCTTAAACCTTCCAAGTCAGATAACTTTGTAAAGATGAATCTGTAATTTGGATTTCATGTATGTTTAAAAATTGCACCTGCCCAATAACTGTTAAGTGCATGGAAGGCCTCATAAAAATACATTTCACATCCTTCCTTGTCTGCTGCCATCAGCCACTGTATCTCCCTTGGTTAACAAGAGCTGAAGAGGTTTTTGGGTGAGTAGATCCCTCCTCTGTTTTGACCTACGTTTCTCTCAGTAAATAGTCATCGGTCTCTTCTGTGTATAGTCTGGTTTGGTTTGCGTTTTTCCCCCGCAAGTGTAGGGGAAAAAGCATCAAAGATGTTAATATGAAATGACAGCTCAAGGGATTGCAGCCCAAGGTGTGTTCATGGAAAAAGTCCTGAATACTTTCCTAAGAGTTACTCCATTTCCTCTTGTTTGTCTTGCCTCCCAATGAAGCTTACTACAGTAGTGCCTATTGTGTTGTCTGTATGCATTAGATTAAGAATTCCTCAGAACCAGGATGCTTTTTTCCCACCTTGTCCTCTCAGGGAAAGGAGAGGGACATGCTGTAGAGAAGCACAAGATACAGAGACAAAGAAAATTACTTTTAATCATGACTAGAAAAGTTGAAAGTAGCTGTCAAAAAGAGTAGAAAGCAAGTGCTTAATTTTGCAATATCTAAATCTTCTCTGAACCCTGACACAACCTATTTAGATGAAACTAAAAAGTGAAATTGCATTTTTTTTGTGATGAGAGCCAAAAGCTTTGCCAAAGTAAAAAGTATTCTTACTACCATATTGGGTAAGGGAAATGAGAGACGATCTCAAGAAGTCCTGTCCAATCTCAACCATTCTATGATTATGATAATAGTCACTTTTCAATAGTCCTGTTCTGCATGTACAAGCTAAAATATTTTTTCATCATAAAATGTGTTAGGACTAAATCAATGTTTTTGGAATAAAAGTCAAACCCAGGTAAAGAAGTGTTTGTATCTTATGCTCTGGTTCACCCACTGAACTATCTATGTAAGGGGTGTGTATATATATATCTATATCTCAATCAATTGAAATACTTCTCTCTCTAAGTGGCATATTTAGTCAGAGTATTCATCTCATTGACCATGGTGATTAAAGGAAGACCCAGCTGGCACTGACTTAGTGTTCTTCCTTTTTTTCCCTAGTGGAGCCCAGTCCTGAAGGCTCCATTCAGGCATATTTCCAACTGAAGCCTTTTTGTTTTGTTTACATTTATATTATGCAATGCCGTAGTGGGAAACTGGTTGCATTTTTTTGCTCTTCTGCATCTTGACATTCATATATTCTTATTTCACAGCTCCAAGAATCTGTGTACTTGGTCCACCCGCTTCTGGGAAAACTACAGTTGTAAGTATACAGCCTTCAATGCTATAATGCTGTCCAGCTGCCTTTTCGCCTTCTACTAAGCTCAGCTCTTGTGACAATTTTGTTCTGACAAAATAATTTTCAGAATTCTCTAAGTGCTGGTAGAGCACAAGACAAATTGAAGGGTGACATTCCTAAGGGGATATGCCTGTGTGTTATGCTACAGGTTAAATGGAAATGTTCAAGTGAGCTCTGCAAGAACTCGCTCAGGTAAGTGGTAGTGATACTGCTGTAATGCAACAGAATTCTGCTGCCTTGTCTTCCCAGCTTTTTAGCAGGATTAATTAACTGGGGAGGAGTACCACAGTTATGTGTTTGTAGTCTTCCCAGATTGTGGATTGCTTCATTGGTATCTGTTGTGTCCACTGGTATGGCTTAATTGAAAATATCAAAGTTGTTTTTGAACCACAGGGAAAGGTGACCGCAGACAGTGCAGAAGATTGTGGTGTGTGCGTACTAGGAAGAATGCTTTCTTTTTTAAAATCTGTGTTATAGTACAGTAGATAAAAAAGACCTTATTCAAAGTTGCAAACTCTTGAACATCTTTATAAGTAAACTGCTTAAAGTTACACATATAGCCTGTATACTTAAGTGGAAGGCTAGAAAAACACTCTGTCTTTCTGCAGCCTTCTGAAAAAATGCTTCATTCTCTTTCCAAATATTTCAACTTGTATTTTTTTTCTTCTTCCCTCAGGCAATGTGGCTTTGTAAACATTTTGATGCCATACGTATCTCTCAGGAGACTTTGTTATTCAAGGAAACATTAGCGCTGACGGAGGAAGCAAAGGCATATAAAGAAAGAAAACAGGTGTGTAAGAGGATATAATAATAGTAGCTCTCATGTCACAGAAGAGGAATTATATGGCATTCCCATGATTTCCTTCGCTATGAGTTGAGCAAATCAGAGTAAATATTCTGTGGTGATTTGTGCGTTGGTTTGTGTATATGTAGATACAGGGCCTTTCAAAGAAGAAGGGTAACCTCTGCTAGAAAATAAGATAGGAACAAAGATGAAGATGTGTCAGGGCATAGAATAGGGGCAGGAGAGGAAGACAATGTGAAGTAATAGATGTCTTGAAAACATCAGCCTTAGACACGAGCAACAGAATTGAGAGAAGTCCAGGTATGCGCCATCCAATTTAAAGAATGGTTCATCATATCAGTAAACAAAGTGTCTTCTGTTTCACCATGTCTGATAATCTCAATGAACTAAGCATTAATCTCTGAGGTCTCCTTGGTACACAATGCTCTGGAACAGTGGGCTTGAGTGCAGGTTTGCTCATGACACCAAGCTGTGTGGAGTGGTCAAAACACTGGAGGGAAGGGGTGCCCCATCCCTGGAGATGTTCAAGCCCAGGCTGGATGGTGCTTTGAGCAACCTGGTCTAGTGAGAGGTGCCCCTGCCCATGGCAGGGGGGGTGCAACTGGATGATCTTTAAGGTCCCTCCAAACCCGAACCATTCTATGATTCAAAGGAGTTGGTCCAAGGAACATTTTTTCCAGATGTCATGACTCACAGGAGGATTTGATCAGCAATGGAATTGTCTCTTTATTAAAGGCTAATGACAAGTAGATTGGAAAAATATGTTGAAAGAATATCCTGAATACAGAGAAGCATCTCTGCTTCTGATTGCTGCCCTTTTAGTTGATTCCTTTCTCTAGATGTCAAGGGGTTCCATGAGTAATAGAATGTAAGATTGGTTTTCTGTGACACTCTTTAGCAAGTCACAGAATCACATAATGGCAGAGGTTGGAAGGGACCTCTGGAGATGATCTAGTCCAACCCGCTGCCAGAGCAGGGTCATCCAGAGCAGGCTGGACAGGTGGGTTTTGAATGTCTCCAGAGAAGGAGACTCCGCAACCTCTCTGGGCAGCCTGTTCTGCTGCCCTGTCACCCTCAAAGTAAAGAAGTTCTGCCTCGAGAGAAGGAGACTCCGCAACCTCTCTGGGCAGCCTGTTCTGCTGCCCTGTCACCCTCAAAGTAAAGAAGTTCTGCCTCGTGTTGAGATGGAATTTTCTGTGTTCCAGTTTGTGCCCATTGCCCCCTGTTCTGTTGCTGGGCACCTCTGAAAAGAGTCTGACCCCATCCTCTTGATGCCTGCCCTTTAGATATTTGTAAGCATAGACTATAAGTCCACTAGTTTGAGTTTCTTTTTTCTCCTTTTGACTTATTTTCATAAAAGTTGAAGGAATTTCATATCTATAAGAATTCTACACCCCTGATAAATTTGATTGGAATTGGCCAACAGATTCATAGTTTGCCGAGATGGTAAACAGCGTGATACATAGATTAATGCTTTTTCCTTAGAAAATTAGGCTGAAAATAGGGTAGTATTTATTACACTGAATTAGTGAATTTGGAGCTGTCTCAAGTAATATACTTAAAGATCTGAGAGGAAGGAGTTCATTGAACCCACTGAACTTCTGGCAAAATCATTTGCTTTTGGCTGGGATGTTATAAAATGATTCTTATCGAGAATATGTACTTTGAAATCTTTGTTCTAATTATTAAAGATTGTTTTGCTAGGTTCATATATTTCAACTCGGAGGGGGAGAATTTAAAACAAAAATTCCCTTTGGTTTAATTACTGTAATTATTAACATATTTCACACTATACAGATGCACTTTCAAGGGTGTCCTTTTGGGCTTATTTGATTTAAAAAGATGGATGGTGTGGAAGATGAAAGTCAGAGATGTCAAGGCTAATCAGGTAGTAAGGAGTGCCCAAAGAGCAGAATCTGGTGGTGCTTAGTACTGTGCAGTTTGCCTTTGGTTTCGAGATGTTAGATCCTAGAAGAACACTTTCCCTAAATAATTTCTTTTGTTCTTTTATACGAGTTTGATTCTTCAAATGTAACTCCTAAAACTAGGAGGGAGCTCCTTGCTTCCTCTACATCAATGAACGCTCTACAGTGACTTAAAATGGAGCCAAATTGTCATCTCAAGAGCTGTATTTTCCCTTACTGCTTCATGGCTGCTGGCTGAATCAGCTGTTGCTGTCACTGACCCCAGGTTCTGCTGAAGCCAGAGGTGAACTTGACTCCTCTCGTGTCCGTAACATCCATCAGCACCAGCAGGGTTTGAATGTCTATTCAGGAACAGAACAATAGCTGTTTATACTGTTTTTGATACAACCAGGGGATTAAAAAGATGTAGTCCTGGCCAAAGCAATTTAATAAATGGAAAGAGGAAAAGCAGGAACTTAAACTGTGTTTTTGAAAGTCTGGTGTGAAGATCATATAACGCAATTTAATGTTCTTAGAGGAACATTTCATGCGTATAAGGTTACTGTGGCTAAATTAACCCCAGTGCCAAAGGTCATTTATTTTTAGGTCAGTAGGTCAATGTTACTAGATCTGGGCAAATGCTGCAAAAAGGTCTGCAAATGTTTGTTCACATATTTTTACTTATCTTTAGCCAAGCTTTCATCTCTTTTGTGTTCGCTTCCAGCGAACATTAAAGCACTTGAGTTTTTCTGGCTCAGGAATTCATGGAAGCCGTATTTAAAATATGTGATTATTCTCTGAAGCTCAATTTTTAAAGTTGGACATGCAATCATTCACTAACACACACCTGGCCACTTACTAATGAGCACTGTTCAGGTAGTGAATTTTAAATATCAACTGTTCAAAGCAAAATGTGATCATTCTGCATGTAAAAATATTCCAAAAAGAAGTCAAATATTTTTGAATATTCAATAAATTTGAAGAACCACGAGCTATCAATAAATATTCCATGAACAGAAAAAGAAGCTACATTTTTTGGATAAATCATTGCAAATTATTCCCTCATCTCTAGTTATTATAATGTTAATAGGAAGCACCTTCAGGTTTTTCCTATAGTGAAGTCTAATGATGAGCTATTGCATGTTTCACTTTTCCTGTTAACTGGATAAGATAAGAAGTTGAAACAACTATGGTAATTGTGGGCTTATGGGATGGCTGGTGTGCTCTTAATGCTATACTAAATTGCAGTTAAGGTGTTTGCGTACTACGTAATGACTTAAAACTACTCTACAGTTGCATCGTATCCCTGTGCTTTTTAAGAAGAAATGTAACAGAAGAGAGGAAAACTGAAGGCATCCTTATCTATGCATGTTCAGCATTCTAATTGATTTCAGGACAAGCCACTCCAAAGGAAGAAATAAAAACTTTTCCAGTCTTGTATATACATAAAAAACCCTGGCCTTCCATGTGTATTTATCTGAACAAGCTAAATTGAAACATTCATGGTTTTCAAAATGCTAAACCTGCTTTCTTCAAACGTGGCTGCTTTCCTCTCTGAGGTGCAAACTCTAAAGCAAACAAAGTCCAAAGTTTTCAGCTGTAGCTGTTTCCAGGACAAATATATCCAAAACTTCCAAAGGAAATGTCAAGGGAAAGTGTTCCCCCCCACTCTGGCAACGCAAAGTGTAGCAATTTTATGAAAACATTGAGAAAACATAACTGAATAGATCAGGCATGTACAATGAAATATGATGTTTCTGAAATACCAGACTGTTTAAAATTAGTTGGGAATGACAACTGTTTTTCAGTGTATAGAAATAGTGATTAAAATAATAGAAAAAATAGCGTGTATAGAAAAGTGGTCTGAACATAAAATACCATGGCTTTTGGAAGGTTTAAAAATTCAAGCAGCAGGTCTTTCTGTTAGCTAAACTGGAGGTTGGGACAGGCTCAGAGTGCCTTAGAGCAGACACAGTTTTGTGTGTCGTTGTCCATTATTGCAGATTTCTGAGAGGTGAAGTCCCTTCTACCAGCCTCATGATATATTTATGTGAGGGTTTATGAGAGACAAATTATAAATGTGTTATCTGATATGTATCAAATTTAATGATTTCTAGTTGAATAATTAGGCATTCTGCAAGCAACCTATTGAAAATGATTTTGTAGGCCACGACTCAGTAGGAGAAAAACCAACCAGGAAATGGGACTGGAATTGAGCCACAGAGACCAGAAGGAACCAAAACACTGAAAGAGCTGCCTGCGTGTCCTTGCTTATTTTTGTGCAATAAACCCCGCTCCAAAGAGAGGACTTAAGAATACCACTGCACTGAAAGAAGTTAGTATAATTTGGGTTTAAATTGGTTTGGCAAGGCTTAGCAGAGTGGACCCCCGGCAGTCACTAGCCTGTCTTGACATGACACATCAAAGGAGGAGGCAAGACGCTGGCTGTTTCTGATAGCAGCGTGATGCACCTTTGGAAGGTGACAGACTCAAAGCCACAGACCCAGCTCCAGCAGCGAGAGGCTGCAGGAGGCTTTGACGCACCACCCTGTGGGACCTGCTGACTTCCAAGAAACACAGCAATTTTTTTCCCTTTTTCTCTTTTTACCTGCGTGAATGCTGCCTTACGAATGGCTGAGAGTAGGAAAGGCACTGAGAACTGGGGACAGCAGGGATAAACAAAATAAGAAAACCCACTGCCTGACTGGGCCACCTCGTCCCTTCCACAGCCAGCCCAGGACTGCTCTCTTTTGTGTATTGTGGAACGCTCGCACCACTCCACTTTAAAGTGATTTGTGTGGTAGCGTTTCCACTGCTCCTGGTGAAATTGTTCATGATCTAATGAAGCAGATTGTTATGAAATCTTTCTGCGTAGTTAGTCACGTTTTCATTATATCTATATCTTACAGCATAATGTAAGCCTGCAGAAATATTCTGGTTTTATGGTTATGCCCTTCAGACTGTTTGGTTAGAAGAAGAGATGGGAACCCCCAATATGTGGAACTGCATTGAGCAAAGAGTCAAGCTTACATCATTAGGTGAAAGATAATTTTTTTGACTTGGGAAGTAGAGAATTTGACTGCAGAATTTTTTCTGAGTGTTTGTTTTACCAATACGGACGAAGTGAATGAGCTTTAGACAAGGCATTTAGTGAAATGATTAACAGCTGCTCTGACTGGCATGGCCTAAAGGTTTAGACTTTATCAAGTTTAGCTGCCTGGCATAGAGTTTGCTCAACCAAGTTCAGCATAGATAGAAGGCCTAAATTGACAAGATAGTGAAAAAAAATCTTACAAGAAGGAATTGTTATTTTCTTGCCAGGAAATCTAATACAATAATGGAAGAAATATTGGGGGTGAAATGCTAAATCTGTGGGAATTGTTATTTTCTTGCCAGGAAATCTAATACAATAATGGAAGAAATATTGAGGGGGTGAAATGCTAAATCTGTAGAGGACCTTTGATCTTCTGTCAGCAAATACTGTCTTACAAACCGTATCTAGATATGGGCAAAGTAATAGTCCCTGAAAGAAATAGCACTTCTGAATGTCTTGGCACATGCAGTTTCAATTCCATTTCACAGTTCTGAGTTTAAAAATAAACTAACTTTAGCATTAAAATGTGCTTTAAATAAACTTCCCAGATGATGAGTGAGAGTTACTTCAAACTATGAAGCAAATCTTCTGAAAACCAGACTCTTTGTGTTATTTTCTCTGTGTTTGGGATGCAGCTCATCTCACAGGATAACTGTTGAGATCACTGATGGTGAGCCCACCGACAGACGAAGCAGTAGCAGGTCAGATACTTGTGGTAAAAAGGGCTACCTTTGGATGTGATGTTCTTATGGATCCCTTTGCAGGTTTGATGCCCAATATATGTGTTAGTGTGCAAAACTTGGCACCACTTCCATGTCAGTGTGCAAAAAGCAGGGGTGTAGGCTTTGTGTTCAGCTTACCTTTAGCACTGATTATTGTGCCCTTATTAACTCTGATATATTATGTTAATGACTTGGGACTTGCACAGATTTATTTATTTAATTTTAAGAAGACATCTCAGTTCACCTTTAACCGGAATATGCCTGCATGGTAAAATTCCTTTTGAACTCAATTGTGAATATTCAGCCTTTTTTTGTTCTTTCTTTAGAAAATTCCCAACGCGCTTTGGGCCAATCTGATCCAGGAACGTCTGTCAAACGTGGACTGCATCAAACAAGTAAGAATTGCTCCTCAGAGGGCCCAGTGGATAAGCACTTACACAACTCGTGCATAGTAGTTAGCATTCCGAGTCCTGAGCAGAGGAGGGAATGGGGGCAAATCATTGGGGGCTCTGGAGCGGATTGCTTTCTTGAACATCAGCAGAGGGAGTTTGGAGCTTTATTAACAGGATAAAGGGGAGGATGAGAGTATGCATATGCTAATCTTCTAGCACAGAGATGATCAAAGGCTGAACAAGCATAGCTTTGTTGATTGCCTGGGGCAACTGGCAGAGTTATAGTGGACAAAACAGATAAACAGAAAATATATAAAAATCAATATGTTGAGTTAAGATTTTAACTCTTACTGAGGAAAGGGGGGGGCGCAATCTAACATAACTCATAAATTTTCTTTATTTCTTGTGTCTTTTTTTCTTCCTTTGTTAGGGAAAACTGCATTTGAATATATTCTTTTCTAGATAATAATTAATATGTTCAGTGTTAGTTTACACAAGTAGGCAACTGAATAGGTTTAGCTGTATTCACAGATGTGTAGCTTCCCCTCCCCCTCACCTCCCCTGGCCCCCCTTAATGTAAGTAGAGACTTTTAACATAGAATCAAAAGAGAACATCAGTAGATTAATATTGGTTGAAATTAATGTCTGGACTCAAGGAAAGCAAAATATCTTTTATGTATTTCCTTCAAAATCTCAGACGTTGTTACAGTTTATTGAGTCCATAATCGGCCCATTATAAGGATTTATTTGTAAGAGACTATACTAATCTAATGGATAAAACTCTGTTTCTAAACAGCGCCACATACAGACCACCCATTATTTGATGCACTTCCATAGTCCAAAGTAGGTGTTACTTTTATGGACTAAACAACTTTTTTCAGATAAATAGTATGTGTTTTCAGAACACTAGTATTTCCTGTATTTCCTGACCCCAGAGTGATATTGCAAGGCTCATGGTTTTGTGTAAACCTGATACTTGTCAACATCATCATCTACCTTGTTGGCTGAATAAAGCAGGGCTGGTAATGAACATTTCATTGAAGTGTGAAAATTGCTTCCTAAAGTTTCTTAGCACTAGGCACTGGAAGAAACTTGAAGTGCTGAAAACCTTATGTCCTGTACTACTTTCTCTGTCTCTGTGATTTTTGGTGTAGTCTGCAATGATCTGCAGACTGGGTCCTTCCATCCATATAAAACAAAATCATCTTGGGGGCTGGGCCATTGCGTTGTAGTTTTTAGGATGGTATTTCTGTAGCACAGAGCTGTCCGTAGGTGCAGAGAAACAACAATAAAACTAGCAAGAAGACTTTTAAAATAATTGCTTTCTGCCTCAACTGAAGGTTTCTGCTTTTGAAACTCAGCTAATATAAATGATTAACAAAGAAGTCTTCAGGTGTGTCAGTGCAAAGTCAAGTATCCCAGTTTAAGCCACTGATGGAAGTGGCTTTTAATGGGCCTGCCTTGTGTGAGCCAGATCAGATGGTCAATTACAGCGTATGAGCTGTGGAAAGGATAACTTGATCAGGAGAGTAATTAATAGCTGGGGATGTAATCTCTTAAATTGTTCTTGCCTGACAGGTTTGTTAGAGGACATCTGTCTGAGTCATATTTCTGTTGCAAGCATATAACTGTAGCAAAATAAAGTAGTACGCTGCTCTCTTTAAGCAATGGCTTAGAACTAGCAATAGCTAAACTTTGACCTATCCCATTAGCTAATCTAGTGGTTGCAAGAGACTTTAATTTAGAATACTACCTGCTGGTGTTTAATGTTGCCGAGAAAAGTCATTAAACTAAAACAAACCTTTCCTTGCTCAGCTAATCTTTTTCTTTTCCCACATCATAGAAAAGTGCATGGCAGTGCCCTTATTTGCATGACAGTGCCTTTATTAGCATAGGGGAGTATCTTGCTTTAAAAGTCTTTCCTTTTATGTCAGTAGAGAAAGGTCTGAAGCAGTAAAAATAAGTTAAGGTGGGAGATTTTTGCACATTTCATTGCATTTTTAGCTAAATCAAGGTTTAACAAGAGACTTAGTGTAACAAAAATCTGGGGTGCATTATTAGCTTCAATACATATTTACAAATTACAGTCTAGGACTCCTCCTCCTTCAAAGAAATGTTTTCATGAAGGAAAATTCATGAAACAGAAGCTGAGCTCACCTCCGCATTAGTCAAAATTTATACCAATTATTAATCCTGTTGACATTCATGGGGTTGAATTCTTGCAACTTTGGAGTCACAAAGTGATGAGTTGAACCCTATGCTTTTAAACTACATCAGTATTTAGATATCAGTATATCAGAAATTACCAAGATGTTAGGATTTAAAATGTACTGACAACTCTCAACTGCTATGTGTGGATTTTTCTGATACCCACTCCTGCCTTATTTTCACTTACTGTGAACTAATAAAATCTACTTTGCCATGCACGTAAGACACAGGTTTTAGGCAAAACGCACACGAGCTCTTATTTTCTTCCTAAACCTTGCCGTTTCATGCACGTAAGACACAGGTTTTAGGCAAAATGCACACAGCTCTTATTTTGCTGTTGTTTCTCTTGGAATTCCCTGCCTACATTGGTACGATCGAGGCCTCAGAAGACTGTGGAAGAATTTTCTAATTTATTATGTATAAGGACATGACCCCCTTCCCTTCTTTTCCAAATGGACTGGGGTTTTTTTTGTGATTTAGTATTTCTTGCTCCATGCAAGAATTATTAGTGCTTCTTGCTCCGTGCCTCATCATTTGGGAGATTGAAACAATGACTTTTGGACTCCTTAGAAAGAAAGGAGTAAAGAGAATATTTCTTGCTCCATGCAAGAATTATTAGTGTTTCTTGCTCTGTGCCTCATCATTTGGGAGATTGAAACGACTTTTGGACTCCTTAGAAAGAAAGGTGTAAAGAGATTGGCAGAAAACCTAAGGCTTATCAATTTTTTCTCTACAAAGTACTGCACACCTTGCTTCATAATTGGTCTATTAATTTTGAATTTCCAAAGTAGAATCAAACCTTTGCATTGCTAGTCACTGTGCTTGAATTATATAGGCCTGTCTGGTTTCCCTTGAAGGTCTTTTTAGCTGAGGTATTTTATTTATTTATTATTTAGCACCCCAGATCAAATATCTGGTGGTACTTAATGTATTTGTTTGTCTGTACTAAATTCACACAGGACTTAAGCTTTTCAATTTGCAGGAGAATCTTTGTAAAAACATGCATGTGGTGCACCATCTTGTTCATTTTTGTGGCATTTTGAATTTAAGAGTGTAGCTGAGGAACACTTGAGAAACCAATATTGTCAGCTCTGGATGTACTAGCAAATGAGCAGCAAAAAAAAGGCTATGAATGTCAACATTTTTTATGTAAGCAGTGCAATGAGATATCATGGATATACAGCAAGTCAGGTGATGGTATGATTTACTACCTTGTCCTTGTGGCAGCATGTGAACATCTATCTTAAACTTCTCCTCTAGTGAGTAGGTTTAAAATATCTTTAAACCTGTAGACATGAAAGTAAGTTAGAAAGACGATAAACCCAAGAGAGAAACTGCTCTTCTGATTGCTAACTGCGAGGCTTGAGGCTGGTTCCTGTCCCCAGACACAGCCCTGCTCAGCTTAACCCTGCCAGCTTCTCTGGCTGTGTTATGACTAGTTAGCAGGTAGGATAGGGAAGATGCCAGGGTACCTTGATATTTTCCCTCCTTTTGGTTTAATATTTTCTCACCTGCTGTCAAAGGTAGAAGTTGCTGGGGCAATGTGTCCTCTAATGCTGTATGGAGGGGAGCTGTTGGATGGCCGTAGTTGCTGTAAACTAGCAAGCAGGTGAATAACTCTTCATTTTAGGGCTTTTATAACAGTAGCTCTAAAACCTCTCCAACATGCTTATTTTTTCACTTAAGGCTTTTTGCCTGATTGAAAGAAGGTACGTTTTCAACAGCTAATTTTTCCAGTGTTGTGATACTGTTAAAGTGAGTTTGACTAACCATCAGTGTATAAGCAAAATCCGTTACTCTTCAAAGGCAGTATCCACTCTGTGCTTTTTTTGCCCCATGCTTTCTATAATTGTTGGCACGGCTCTAGTTCTCCTTTTAATAGTGAGGGAAGGATCTCTCCTTGGCTGTTATTTTAAGTATTAGGTCGTGTAAACTCTGAGTGAGGTGACAAGATGGTTAAAATGCCATCAGCTGCATGGTGTCCTGCCTACATTTTATGTTCCCGTTGTTATCACCAGCAACACTGACTCAGTGCTGGGTGTGTTACAGAACTAAGGGGGAAAAAAAAACAACCTTTATAAATCTTCCCTGACATTCAGCAAGAATGGAGTAGATGTTACTGGTCTAGTTAAGGCTTCCGTTATTTTTAGGAAAAACACATAATTGACTTTTCAAAGATGTGATGGTTATTAAAACTCTTTTAATGAATAGTAATTCATGGTCATAAAACTCCCTCACATTGTGTATGTCTTTTCCAATTTGCATTTTGATTGCAATATTGCCCTATGTGATTAGAAATAGAATTAATGCTGTGGATTTTGTACTTCATTGATTTATGCCTTTTCTCTCAAAGCATGAGTCAGCATTTTTTTTCCCTGAGATTGTTAATAGATTAGGAGCAATATGTTGGACCATACAACCACCAGCTGTTTGTTTTATTTCTCCTTGTGGTGTCATTGGCTTGGCATTAATTGTACAGCTTTCATCCCACTGACAGTAGGAGCACAGAAATTTTTGTGCCATTGTTTTGACACTCACGGGTTTATAGATGTCACAGGCATTCTCTAAGGAGAACGTTTTTATTGATCAACAGCTCTGCTGAGACTCTGTCTTGTGTGTTCTTCTCATACAAATGTGGTCAGGACCGCGAGGGATCAGACGGGTGGGTCTTCCAGCCTACGCAGAAAACTTACTGCAAGCGTTACGTTAGAACCTGGGGCTTGTGAAGCTGATATGAAGACTTTTCATCTTGCAGGGTTAGTACATGTTGGCTACGGCACCTCTGACTGCTGGTGGTGTGGAGGGAATTGATAGAACTGGGGAAGGCTCATGAAGAGATTGCTACATGATGGATTTGTGAGAGAGAAAGCTGAGCAGCCTTACTCATGTCTTAGGACCATTTAGAAACTAAGCTTCGGCCAGTGATTCACATGAGTAGTGGCAGAATGACTTTTGATTGGTATTAAACCATTCAGAAGCGTAGTGATTGTCCTCTAAAGGGAAGGAAAGAGGACAATGGCTGTGGGTTCTTCCTGATTCGATCTGGGTAGATAAAGATCATCATTGAAACTCTCTGAAACTCCGTGCAAGGGTAATGACGTTACATAGATTTATCTGGGGAGAGAATCTGCCTATTCCCCATCTTTTTCTGTTTTCCAAAAAGAATGTGGGTGTCTTTTTTTTTTTAATAGCTTTGCAGTTTACACAACCTACAAAAATAATGCGGGGAATAAAAGGTTTCTTTCTAATGAGAAATTTGGTAGAGTTGGAGCTTCTTCCATCATCCACACTGCTAATGTTGATGGACTGCAGTAATTGGTTCACAATATTTCTACTGCACTCCTCAGCCTGCTGTTTTCTGAAAATCCCAGAAATTCTAGATCTGTTCTGGCAAAGCTAATACTGAAATTACTTTATTGTCTGCCCCCTTTCTTCAGATGGGAATGAAAGGCATGTAATACTTCTTCAAATATACTGAACGGGGATGTGGAAAAACTGTTGTGATGAGCTGTTTTCCTAAAGGCACCAGTATTCATGACCTTTGATCTTTGTGCTTGTGGCTGAGATTTCTTTCAGACGTGCCACGTAATTCGGCATTATTTCTTTGCGCTATCCCTTTTCATTTGTCTGTGTCAATTTGGGTTTCTGTAATTTAAAAAAAACCTAAATTCAGACTCTGCAGGTCAAATAACAAGAGAGAACCAAATACCTAAGTCATTATTATGGTGGTAGAAAGTGTGAAAGGCTTGGTATTATAGCTGAGAGTAGCGCCAGCAGAGGAGTGAGATTTACATTTGGGAATGACCTTGAGCATTTCCTTTTCTCCAGATTCCTTAAGTCTGGAGAGGAAAGCGATGGCTTTGAAAGTATTTCCTTGTTGCTGGCTTTCAGCATGGCATGGGTCTCAGAGGAGCACTTCACCTGGCACTAAGGCACCGGCAGAATGCTGTATTTACAGCAGTCTTCACGTGGGAAAGGACTGAGGTTTCCAGCTGAAAGGGAGGGAGCAGTGACCACAGAGTAAAAGCACCATGGAAATATTCACTTTTAGCCTTTGTTCCATCCTTGATGTGGTAAGGTACAATCCAGGCATGGATGTAAGGTTACTGCTATATCAAGAACAAAAAATAGATGGCTTCTTAAAGAAACATATTTACCATGTGAACTTACTAATTACACTTTAATGATAGTCAGAAGGGCAAAAAAAGACCAGTGTTTGCATAAAGCATGATAGGCATATTTTAAGTCAGGTCTTGCTCTGCTGTGTCTTGCTTCCTCTTGCTTCGTTCCCAAGCCACACTCCCTTTTTACTCTTTTTTTTTCTTTTTTTCTTTTTTTCTTTTTTTTTTTTTTTTAATCTGTGACATCTGCTTGGAGCTTGTCCCTCCTGTGATACCATACTACTTGCAGCTGTTCAGACCTCCAGCTCTGAGCTGTGCATGGGGTGCCCTGAGCATACGGCCTTTTTGATGTGTGATAAAACAGAACCAAGCCACTGGGGGTATGGAGAGGGAATGCAGCAGAATATCAATAAACCTGTTCTGAACAAAGCTGCAGCTCTGTGGTGGAATAGACATTTCACTGAAGTGTCAAGTAGATGGATAATGTATTCTAATTAGGGACTGACTGATACCCTGGAACTCAGAGACCTTTGGAAATAAGATCCAAAATGCTAACTATTTTTGTAGTGTGTGTTTATTTTGCATTTGTTTAATGCCTTAAAACGTATTTGTTGCAGGAAGCTATTTGTTGAGCTGTGTTTTCTTCCATTGCAAAAACTTTTAGCCTTCAATTTCTTATTGCCTGTTTTAAGGACCTTTGAAATTTCTATATAAACCTCTTGAAGTTTGCTATGTGTTGTTAAAAAACCAGTATTCTGTGTTTACTGCCTGTTGCTCAGTATGTGATTTTGAGCATTAAGCTATATTCACATCAGAAATGAATGTTTTGTGGGGTGGGCATTTTTGTTTGTTTTGGTTTAGTTTCCAAAAGTAGTGCATTTGGAGTGAAGAGAATGAGGCAGATTTGTAGTCTGTGTAAATCGGCATAGATTTATTAGCTTCAAACCTCTGATGCCATTTCCCCTTCGAAGAGGATCTGGGCCTATATATATATATGTTGTACAAGCAAAGTATATTCAGAACTAGCGTTGAAGTTCCTAGTGTACCACTAAAAATATTGTGCAGCCTTCCCTCCTGCAAGTCCCGAGGGATAAATTGATTTCTCAGCACCTGTGTGGCCTTAGACAGGGGTTCATTCTAATTCGATAGAGCAAACACTGGGAGTGGCAAAAATGGCTTGCAGTTACTTGAGTCTCTTATTTTCTACAGATATCAGCAGGATGACATGTTCCTGAAACCAGGCTAATTAAGGAATTTTAAATAGTCTACTCTATTTTCTTGTATAATTGGAATGTCCCAATTTCCTCCTACAGGAGTCATGGAGATGTGTTTCCCTGAAATACTTCTAAAACCTTTGGACCCCATACTGACAGAGCTTCAGATTTATGTGGGAGATGATAATGATTGCTAGCTAATGCAATATTAAAACATCCTCTTTATTTCAATACAAAGATGGTTTCCAGATTTATTGTAGTATCACAAATTTCTCTTGTGGTATAGGATATAGTGACAAGGACACGTGTGGTTAAGCAACTAAGAGATAAATTAGAGAAAGTTTAGAAGATTCAGGCTCGAGACTGGGAAGTGGATTAGATTTCAAATACTGCATCACACAGAAGCTGAGAGAGGCTGCAGCTCTCCTACGGTATTTCATAGATCTGTAAATGTTTTTTTAAAGATGCTCAATCCAACACTTAGCTGGCTATAACAAGGACTTAAGGGAGCAAAAGGCTCTTTTTTCTTTTTTCTTTCTTTTGCTCTGTTGCTTCATTAGCTTTGGGAACGCTGGTTCCATTATTGTGAGTTTTCCTGTATAATTTAAGAAAATAATGAAAGCATGCATATTTTCCTCAGTGTTCTTGGCATTAAATCTGTCTTTAGATTTGTTTAGCCTCTTTTTTTATACACAGTGTGGGCTGGTATGCTTTTGAATATTTCAAAACTGTAGAAATTGTTTTGGGTTGTTTTTATTCAAGATAGAAGTTTCTTTTTTTTTTTTTAAGATTGAAACATGAAAAAAAATTTCATTGCTACAATACATGAGTTCACATTGCTCTATGACAGTGGTATTACTGGGTGCCATTTCACAAAAATATCTTTCTTCTGCCTTGCTTTCTTCTCTCACAAGCATCCATAACAAATACTGTGCTGTCTTGGGATCAGAATGAGGTAAATTTTGTGCAGATAGCACTGATATTTAGTGCTAAATTTTGTTTTTTCTCTTCCAGGATCAATAACTGTTTCATGTTTTTGTTCAATAGGGATGGATTTTGGAAGGCTTCCCTGAAAATCAGGAACAGGCATGGATGCTGCAGTCATCTGGCATCATTCCTAGGCATGTTGGTAAGCAGTGCAAGGTTAACGTGTGATTGCATCCAGTAGGAAAGACTGGAAGTGTTTTCCCCAAAAACCCTCAATAAATTCAATACCGATACTGAAGACCCTGGAGTCACCAGACAGCAGAATATTTCAGTATGGTTCAGATTCACTCCAAAGCTTGAGGTGACCTATGAGACTTTAAACCCCACCTTTCACACATGAACCCTCTTCTTCTTACACATTAGAGTTCTGTAAATTGAAGACCACTCCAGCGAGTGTCTCTGAGCAGCTCTCTGTAGCTTTGCTTCTGTGCTAGGAGTGGGTCTAAGTTTTCTCCGACTTCCATTTCTAGAAATCATCCTTTATACTCAGACCAAAACAATTCCTCATGTGCTAAATACAAATTCATCCTTCTGTTGAATTAGAGGATGCAAACTTCACAAACTTTACTTCATTAAGTCGAAGCATCATGATTTTAAGCTTGACCTTTCAAAATATGGGTGGATTCTGACTTGATTTGAGAAGAACGTTTATTTACTGGCAAAGTGCTCATAAATGAGACCTTGACAGTTGCCGTTGCCATCCAGAAGCAGCCAGTTGTCCCAAATAAATATAGTTAGAGGACCTACTTAGAATATAAGAAGTCATTAGGATTGTGTGGAATACAGTGTAAAATGATAAATGTAGAGCTTGCCAGTGAACAGAATGTTAGCAAACTTGATGAGTTGTCACTTTGGATTTGATTTGGATGAGATTCGACTGTTAATGAAGAATTCAGAATCACTGCAATAGAGTTAGGCAAAAATGTTTAATGTCTCGTAGTTGCATGTATTTTTAATATGGCTAATAACATCTGAAGTTGAGTTTTGCTCACAATTATATCTGTGCAACCAAGACCTGAATGAGAATCTTAAAGCTTAGTCTGTCTAGTTAATCAAAAAGAAGATTGAGAGGAGATGAGATTTACAGTGTGTGAGTACCTTAATAGGGAGAAAAGCGTCTGAAAGAGCTATTTGATACAGAGAAGAAAGTAATAAGAAGAACTTGTTTGAAACCTGTAATCAAATGCAGTGAAAATAGCAATTAAATTACAGTGTTTAACTGTGAGGATGATTGGTCAAAAGCAACCTAAAGAACTGACAGATTCTCTATCTTTTGATGCTTTCTAATGAAGTTTGAACACTTTTCTGTGAGGTTATCAAAAAATAAGTTTCACTGGTCTCACTACCAAAGTACCTGGGTGAAAAGTAATAGTTTGTGGTATAGAAGGGAATTGGTCTTGAGTGATCTGTGGGTATGTCCGTCCTAGGCTCCAGATACTATGTAATTGAGGGAGAACCTTGTTAATTGATATGAATGACAGGGACAGCTAATACTCATGGGGACTGAAATAGCTTAATGTATATTTTATCCCACTATAGTTTTTAGGAGGTGGAGCAAAGTTCTGATTAAAAGTGAGGTCAAGTGTTTTCAGGTAGAATACTGGGAAAGGTGAATGAGGCAAATGTGCTTGAAATACATTAATGTATCTTAAATACTAGGATACATAAAGCAAGTAACTAACAAGAGCTGTGCTTTTTTTCTTCCTTTTTACATTAATGTATCTTAAATACTAGGATACATCTAAACAGTTACAGGAAATAAAGCAAGTAACTAACAAGAGCAATGCTTTTTTTCTTCCTTTTTTTTTCTTTGGTGCCTAGTTGTGCTTTATGCTCCAGACACTGTACTTATTGAGAGGAACAGCGGGAAAAGGCTTGATCCCTTAACAGAAGGTGCAGTATGTGTTTGCTCCTGATCTCCCCTAGAAACTGGACTGTTGCTTGGTCTCAGAATCATTGTAATACTAGTGGGATTCAATTTTAAATGGTATCCCTTTAAGAACTATAGGAAATCATAATTATAAATTTAAAGTGTTTGGGAAAAGTATTTGTTGACATTGCATTATTTTCTGCGCCAATAAAATATGGGAAAATGTAAAGCTCAGCATCGAGCCAGCAAACAGTAAGCTGTGGCAGTACAGAATGTCTTAAGGTTAGATCTGTCCTTATCAGCTTACATTTCACTTGCATCTTTCCTAGATCCTGTTTTTTTCCTGAGGTGCAGGTATGCTTTTAGGTATCCTCCATTAAATGTCTGATGAATAGACTTAGCTCTCTATTGTCTGTTGAGTATCATTATCAATCATCCACCACAAAATAAAATCCTGACATTGCTAAGAGTGATGTTCTTTAGTAAAGAAATGGCTTTTATTTGCTATAAAGGAGATTTGCTTATCAAAGGTCTTGTTTAGGGTTCAGTCTAATAATTTGGAGAGCTGTCCCCAGCTCTGGTTCTCATCCATCATTCTGTCTTGGCTACATGGGTGGGCAGTTACCTTGGCCATTCCCTATCTGTGCATCTGCAGAGTATGAGTCAGCTGTCAGTACAAACAGCGAGGGAAGAGCACAGGTTATTGCTTGTGCCACAATATAAAGCTTCAACAAAAACCTTGATTTTGTTTAGAAAAACTTTTGGAGCTGAGTAACACCTCTCAAATCATCCTCTCAGTTCCTAATCAGTGTCTGCTTTCTAGAGGTCTACCATACAACCTTTAACTGGCCAACTGACCTGCTGGTACAGCAACGTTTGGTGGAACCAGAAGATCTATCTGAACAGGAGATATCAAAGAAACTGCTGGAGTATCACAGAAGCTTCCCTGGGGTTTTCCAGATCTACCAGAAAGTTTTGAAATCAATCAATGCAGACCAGCCTTCCGTGGATGTCCTCTCACAGGGTATGTATCTTCATGGCAAATCTGATAGTTCTTTGAAAGGTATTTCCTATCTGTTAGAGTTTGTGGGATCAGAATTAGTCAACACAGATGGCTCCCAGCTGAGCTGTGCTCTCTCTAGTACAGCATTTGGACTGTTCCTGGTAATTATTTTACAGGACTAGAGTAAGTGCAGATAACTGGAAAGTCTTAGTTCCACTGTCCAGCCGAGGAACAGCTGACTCAGTAGAGCAAATGTCAGGGTTGTTCCTGTGACAGTCTCTTCTAAAAGGCTGTGGCTCAATTGTTAATCTCCCAAAGGGCTGGTACCTTCTACAAGTCTGATAACAAGAAGTAGGAGCAGTTCAAATCTTGCAACTTTTCATTATTTAAAAGCTGTTTGTGCTGGTAGCTCTTCTGTTCAACAGTTCTTGGTTGCCTTTGCTTGACTGTAATGCAATCTGACTTTTAATGTTGGTTCTTCAAGAAAAGAATAAGGAAACTGCCAGAAAGACCAATTGATAACGTACTTTGTAGCTGTCAGTCTGTAGATGATCCGTTATATCCCAGTAATTTTGCATCTCAAAATGGTCTTTTTTTAATAACAAGTGCTGCACTTTTGAGATAAACAAGTAGGAAGTTTATATTCTGAATTTACACATTAATTACCTCTAAATTACTTAATTAAATTTAAAAGTTCATATCATCATTCATAAAGAATTCATGCCTTGAATTGTAAATAAAAATGTGAGTGCCTGAATATTAATTATTATTAATTAATAATGTAGTGAGATAAATTGAAAACTGGAATGAAAAAATCCTCTCTAGATCTTTTTTTCTGCAGTGCATCAAGCAGCCAGATTTTTTTTTTAAAGAATAATTAGATGTGGAGACTGTCTAGGGGATCATTACTCCTAATTAACTTGGTTATTTACTGCAAATTAAGCATCATTTGTAAGCAGGGTGCTTTGCCTGTAATGTTTGTGCTTTTCAATACACTGGGTTATGGAGAATGTTCAGAATATCTAGAGCACTCTTTGGGTAGCTAATACTTGGTTTTTAGGAGGTTGTGCAGCAAATACTCTTTTCTGTTATGATTTTCCAGATTTTTTTTTTTTTTTGAGTATTTTTATTGCTACAGATAGAGTTAAAAAAGAAAGAGGAGAATTGCCATCCTGTGCACCCTGCTCTGGGTGACCCTGCTCTGGCAGCGGGGTTGGACTAGGTGATCTCCAGAAGTCCCTTCCAACACCTACCATTCCATGATTCTGTGATCTCTCACCAATATTAGTATTATTGTGGTTTCATACAATTATAAAACTCTGTAAATTCTTAATTTTTAATGCAATTGCTACTAACTGGATATGTGACATCAAATTCAGTTGTAGGGTGTATTATCCCAGCACATCTTGTGGCACTGCAGGACGAGATGGGTACGATCCCATGCAACTGTGGTTGCAGTTTGCCTTAGTTTCTCAATACTTGAGGTTCACTGTCTAGAAATAGCATTGGGTTGGAGTTTGATGGAGATGCTTCTTTATTAGAAAAGATGTTGTAATGATACCAAGATGTCTAGCAGAGGGTCCTCAGAGAAGCTGTTAGTATACAACGATGTGTTAACAGTGGTCGTTAAAATATGAGTGTTTGCTGTGTCCAAATACCATCTTAATCTGTCCTCACTGCCAAGCTGTGTCTTCTTGTAGCTTCTTGGTGATCTATCAGGTTCTCTTTTGAGACAAAGTTCAGGTCTCTGTAATACAGCAGTGCTGGTGATGCTTCACATGTCCTGTGATATTTCCAAAGCTCTTATAATTTGTAGATTGACCTGAGTGTAGTATTTTCTATGCAATACAAAATGTAGAAGAATGATGTTCAGCAACAGAGTGGAGTCAGACAGAGAAGCTCAAATAGCCTTTCCATGTTGTGCAAAAAATGGTGGACAATAGAATAAAATCATAGTCAGTTATGTGTTGTCAATGGCGTATTGTGTCCTGACATCCTATGCTACAAGTCTGTAATATTGTAATTAGGAGTCTGTTAATCACACACACAGAGCTGGATAAATGTCGTATTAATTTAACATCCTGACTTTTTATGCTTAAATATTTGCTCAGAAACTGCAGAAAGTATTAAATGTAATTATAGCCCTCCATAATTTGCATGGTAAAATTGTACCTATCAAGCAAAAATTACTTCTGCTAAAAACAACACGGTAAAAGAGCAATTATTAATTCAATCTGCTCTTTAAAATGGTTTGACATCTAGTGATGAAAGGTAATATAGGATTGTAATGACAGTAAGATTTCTCAAGTGCCTTTCAGTGTAAGTTGCTGACATGACAGTTTTATCAGAGTCCTGATTTTGGTTGGAATATCTAGATATTTCAGTGATAAAAGAATGATGAGCAAAAAACCTTTGAAAAAAAAGAAGAGAGATAAGTTAATTGATATTTATATTAATATTTTTTTTTAAAAAAGGAATAGGATATAAACTGTATTTCTTGCCTTTCTCTCATGTTCTAGTTCTTACCTATGTCCAAACACGGCACCGATCAGCCGCACCCTTTACACCACGGATTCTCTTTTGTGGACCCCCAGGCAGTGGGAAGAGCCTGCAGGCAGCACTAATAGCTCAGAAATACGGTGTTGTCAACAGTAAGTTCTCAGTAAATATGCACTTTGCTCAATTCCCCCTTTCTCTCTTTTTGATCATTTATCTTTTGCTGTCTGTCTTTCTTACTTGCTCATAAAATTTCTCTGTTTGTCCATTGCTATGGATGTCAAAATTTTGAGGGAAGTGAAAAGTATTTCAGTGAAGAAATATAAAACAGTCAAGCATATATTGTGACAAACCAGCTCTAACGTTTTTTTAGTCATCATTTTTTATACCTTTTACATCAGTATTTTTCCATGTGTTAGATTCCTGTAGTGCTCTGAACTCTTCTGTGGATCAGCGGATCATGAGTAATGTCTTTGCAGTTTCAACTGTATGACCAAAACTGGGGCATTTTTACAATAGAATTTATTCTGAACTTTAAGGAAGACTCAGGTTCTATGTATCTGAAGTAATGTATTAGAAAAGGAAGCAATTATTTAACAGTAGATTCTCTTCTTTGGTAAAGGAGGGTCAGAAAATGGTGTGTGAGGCTTGTTCATGGTTAGTGTGCTAACACTAACGAGTTCTATAATATGAATCCCTAGCTTGGTGATAGGATCAATGCAATGTGTCCATGTTCTATGAGGTCTTCTAATAGTGGAGTAGCCATAAATTATTTTAATCAAATGTCTGATATCTGTAAAATTTGCTGATTAGTCATATCCTCTTTGTTAAGCAAAATGCAAGTTCATTTCATTAGTATTCTTCCAATGTACACCAAATGAAAAAATCAGAATTAAGTAGGTGGTGGAGTTTTATGTTCAGGAGATTCTTTAATGAGTGGAACTCTCTCCGTTGTCCATAGCCATGTGGCAGTTTGCTGGTGTCTTCCCTGAAGTCCTGGTGAAGTCAAAAGGTTTCACTGAACCTGGATTTGACTTTGCATGGGCATGATATCTTCAAGATCTGAGGTGTATTGTTTTCAATTACCTGTTTAGCAGCTCTGCTCAGAAAAGAAAGAAATGTTTTAAGTTCAAACTTGAAGCTTCAGAAAAAGCCATCTGCTTTCCATACAATCGTTCCAGGTAATGGCTAGACCCTACCGTAGGTTTGTGCAGTTCTGTTAAAGGCACAGAAACAGGTATGAAACTGCCTGCCTATCAGTTTAAGGTTCTAAGTTTAGTATTTTTGCATTTTAAATCTTTATTATTATTTTTACTGTGTTAAAAAAAAATACACGAATATGACTCAAATGATATCCAGTGAACTTGAAAAAGGTAAATGAGAATTATTTTAAAATCTATTTTACAGTGCTAAGACGTACAAATAAGATTGATAAAATGTTTATGCTATCAGTTATTCTAATATTGCTATGTTTTGTTGGTTCACATTTAAAAATAAATACTTGTAGATTTATTCAAAGCTATATTTTTAATAGTTTGTAATTGGCCTAATGAGAAGTAAACCATGTCTGAATGTGTCAAAGAAAAATTATTGTTCTTGTGTTTCTGAATATTTTTTCTGGACTTTATTTCTAAAACTGCAAGTTTGATAGTGTTTCATCTAGGTCAAAATTTGCATATTTTTTTTTAAGTAACTACTATATCAGAGAGTTGCATCTCTCTTTACTAAATACCATTACCACTGCTTTATCCGTATGTTGATTTTTATTTTAAATGTATTATAAATCAAATATTGGAAGAATTCAGTATTTGAAAGAGAGTTGGAAAACAGTAATTTTTTTGAAGAGTATTCAGCATATACTTGAGATTGAACCAAAGGCTTAAAAATTTAATCCTATGTTTATATAGTCTCTTGAACTGGATTGAATTTAGGTGTATACGTATCAGTTGTCTGAAGGTGGGGTCTATGCACTGAGTTTCTGTTTTGTTTTTACACCGTTTGTTGTGAATACAAATTTGTTTCTCCAGGACAACTAGAGACTGTTAAAATATGTGTTCATCCCTTGTTACTTAACCATTAAACTTTATCAGCTTTCTCCAAGAAATGTTCCTCTGGAATATTCTTCCTCTTGTTTGCCAAACGGTGCGGTAACAGCGGTAAAGCAGATGAAAGGGACAGCTGGTTTTTCCATTAAAGTCAGTGCAGCTGTAGATATTTGTGCTATTGATTTCAGAAAGGGTGGAATCAACTTATGGGTATTCATTGAAAGGTCATGCAATAATGTGACTGTTATCTAATATTTACCAAAACTGAGTTGAAACTGGGACTTGTTGTGATGTTGTGTAACCTCTCTGTGCCTTAGTTCCCTCCTGTAAAATAAGGGTCAGGACTGGTGTGTGTCACTCACGGGGGGCAGTGAGACTCGATAATTTTGGTCAGAAAGTGCTATCCAACTCTGAAGTAGCAGCATTTCGTATACAGCTGTCCTGACTAAAACTTTAAATCTGCATCTCCTGGTGTTCTGTGTGTTTGAAGTCAATGATAATATTGGATTAGCACAGTTTTTTTAATATAATTCTTGCATGATCATTAAATGATCCAGGGAGTCACTTCCTTGAACTGCGTATTATCCTGCACCTCCAACAGTGCGGTTCAGATGCTGTTCAGCAGGTGTAACTTTATTCAGTAATTATAAGTTTATAAAAAGTGAAAAATGCTAGCAATCCCTTGAGTTATTATTTCAGGAACATATTTGATTAATATCTTTCTCTCTATCTCTGTTTTTAATATGTTCTTTGCCAAATGTATTCTTTTTTATTCAATATTCTCGCCTGCTCAGTTTCTTTGCTTTTTGCTCTGCTTGGCCAAAAAAAAAAAAATATCTCCTAACAACAAACCCAAAAAACCTACAACTTTTATTTTATTCAGTGACCTTATTCCAGTATGCAGCTTCTGGGGTGTTTTTTTTCTTTTCTTTGTTGCTTCCTTTTTAAAATTTAACCTTGTGTCTTTTGTTTTGTTCCTTCCTGTTAGTTTGCTGTGGGCAACTGCTAAAGGAAGCTGTTGCAGACAAGACAAAACTTGGAGAACTTGTTAAGCCTTATATTGACAGTGGATACCCAGGTAGGGCACATTGTTGTCTCATTACACTGTAGTTATAAATTTGTAGGCAAAAATTAAATTGTGAGTGATTTTTTTTTGGTCAGATTCTAATCTGAGTTACGTCAGAGTAATCTGGAAGTTGATTAATTCCTTTCACTACGTGATTTGTAGCACTGCATAACAGAAGTTCCATTTCTAAGCTCTTCGATGTCTTCAAAGCAAATAGTTCACTGTTCCAGTGAAATTCAGGGGGTTTTGTACACATTCCAAAAGTTGATTTCTGTGTTTTTATCTCTAAATCAAAATCAGAATTCTGAAAGAGATGTACAGTTTCAAAAAGTTTAAACTGTTATTTAAAGCACAAAATCATGTTCCATTTTTATTTCAAGGGGCTATAATAAAGGCTCTGCTTTTATATGTAGATTTTGACTTATAGAATGCTACTATAGATTCCTCTACTTTCATGAAAATATTTTTAACTATAAAGTTTCCTTGCACTTCATTTCTATCAGTATTTTTGGTTGTAGGAGGGGACTATCACAAAGAATGTCTAAGCACAGTTTGCTTGTGGAAGGCTCTGCAGTGATTTCAGATAAATCATAAATACTGTAAGCTCCTTAGGGCAGCAGCTTAAACCTACGTGTTTGTTAGTTGTCTTGCACAAGGATAGCTCCCTGTATATGGTGAGTATTAAAAAATCAGAAAAGATCTGTAGTTCTAAAGGATAAATTGCATTTCAGTAAGGTGGAAAAATGTTTATTTTGCCAAATTACAATGGCCTGCAAGAGGAACTTCCAGTCCTGTTTCTGGCAACAGGCCAAATGGTTACCAGTGATACAAATAGAAGGAGACAATCTTGCTGAAGATTGTGAAATCTCGGTTAAGCTTCAATATTAATGGAATTTTGAGCAAGCCCCCCCTGAGCAAAGAGAAATCTTCATTGTCTTTTATTTTTGGCACGGAAAGCCATTTGGTGAAGTGGAAAGCTTGAAAGTCCCCCTTTTTTTTTTTTTTGCACAATAGCTTAATTCTGAGACTGAATTACACAGATCTGAAACATGAGCCTATAAAATTAACTGGGGTTCCCTTGATACCATACCAAGAGATTCAGTACTTTTCGAAGCATTTCAAAAGACCTTTGGCAGCCTGCAGCGTTGGGTATTCTATCCCTCTGTCAGTCACTTTAGCAAGCCACAAGGTAATACATTTTAACTCCAGACTTCATCTCTAGCGAATGGGCTGCATTTATTCTTAATACAGTAACTCAGCTCGTTCGGTGCATTAATTTTTCGCGGCAGCCACCATCTTGCTGGGACGAGAAGCTTATGTGGGAACCATGGGAATGGAAAGCATCAGTCTCTGCAGCCTGAAAGAGAGACACTGGCTCCTCTGTAACGCAGGCACAGAGATCTAGGAGAGGATTTTCTGATTTAGAGATACTGCTAATCAGAATGGCCATTTAGCTCAAAGGCAAGAGATCTTGGCATATATTAATTGCAGTGTAGCCTAGATCTTTAGTTATGGAAATAACTTCTTCATGTGTGTAGTCTGATTGACCTGAATGTGGCTACTTATGTATGCAGTCTAACTCACATGTGGAGATCATTTTAAGCTCTGGGCCTGTTTCTTTTTCATAGTATCCCTTAATTTCAGAATGTTATATGTATATCGTAATTTTGTTCTTCCCATCTCTGTGAAGTAGAGGACAGCCACTGTAAATACCTCACTCTCTAAATTTCAGTTATGGCTGAGATGGGAGTTTAGCTATCTATTTATTCAAAGATAGGTCCTTTAAGAGCTTTCTTTACTAAAATGCTCTTTGTGTATTTTATAAACTTCATCTTAACCATTACAGTTCCTTAAAGGAGTTAGCAAAAGCATTCCCAGTAGAGTAAAAGAATTGCACAGATCGCAATTTTTAGCCGGTCCTAAAAATATGTACATCCTTAGTCCAAGGGAGCTGCTTTCATTTCAGGAAAATGAAATTGAAGTTGTAATTCCTTTCTTTCCCCAAATTAGAACTTATTTCAGATTTAGATTAATTTTTCTAATATAGCATGCAAGAATAAAGTTCTTCTACAATGCTTCTGAATGTTAATGGGATTCATAACTGTATTTCTGTACATTGTGCTAAAAAACTCTCTCTTAGTTTTGCTTGTGTGCACATACATTTTATTTGGTGGGACATACTACAAAATTAAGGGCTGAATAAAAGTAAATATTATATAGCAATAGCAGAAATAATAAGTTCTGTCATTTTGCTAATCCTTCTCTCCCAGGGATAACAAAGAATGAATTTACATTAGTAAACACTAACAAGAATTCATTACTCCCCTCACAAGAGGCTTGGAGAAAATGAAAGAACATAGTGTACTGAAGAGGAAAGATGAGTAAAGAATTCAGAATTTTTACTCTCTTGCTACAGAGTTACAATCAGGTTAATAAAAAGGAAAGATTCTCACACTATTATTGACTATGATCCGTTTCAAGAAAATCACATTTGAATAGAGTTAGTTTAGTCAATAGCAGATAGTGTTATAACTGGAAAAATAATTAGAACTTCAACATTGTTATTGGATTTCTAGTTATGTACCAAGTAAATGTAGTTGTTCCTTTAGGCAAGGAATCATGCAAGTGATATTATCACAGAATACCCTGGAACCAAAGACCGACTGAGTGACATGTTGCACTCAAATCATTACTAGTCAAAATGAAACAAGTGCCATAAAATCTTGAGGACACGCCTCATATATTCTTAAAATGCTCACCCTGGGGAGTGATCTCAGTGTGGTTTCCTTTCTTGTGGACACAATTGATTGCATACAATTAGTTGTTTAAGATATGCCAACACAGTATGTTGTGGTGTCTTAACTCATTATTGAGCTATTGAGGCTCTCCACTGTCTATTCTGTTCTAGTTCTGGTTGACTAACTCAGATCTCTTCTTGGGTTTAGGATTCACATTCTTTGTATTGTTTTTTCCTTGTAATGCTGTTTCCTGTACATACCATGTGTTTCAGGAACAGCCCAGACAATTATATTATTCACGCCAGGAGGCATCTCTGTATTCCCATTCTCTGTATTTTCTAGTGTTTGCTGTCTCCTTATCTCTTGCTTTATCAAACTTCTCAATTTTGTGTATAGTGATTTGTTTTGCTTAATGAAGGTAGCATGGGTATTTCTGAGCCCATTAACTTGTTAATTCCCAGGACATTCTAGTCCACAGTTGATGCACCCTGGATATTCAAAAATGCCTTTTCAGTGAAAAGTTCAGCAACCTGACTGCTGTCTGTCATAAACAGAGAGTTGTTCCTTGGACAACCAGTCAGAAATGCACAGACTTTTCCTTTAGGATATTGTAGTTTTCACTGAAACTAGGCAATTATTGCTAACTCTACTCTGGGCAGAAAATTACCAGCATTGGAGTTTGATACCAGTCTTCTGGTCGCTGACTCCGATTAGTTTAGATCTTGGTCAGTAATGCTAAATTTAGCACACGCCGTTTGCTTGGGCAGCCAAGGAGGACTTCTGTTTGGAGAAAGAGGTGAGCATAGTGGCCATAACCTTTCCCTAGACAGCGAGACAACTCACAGGAATTAATTAATTCAGATTGATTCCTTCTGAAATGTTGTGAAGAGACTGTTCCATAGGCTGGTCCTCTCCTTCTAGTGATTCAGGCTATGGACAAATGGTGCATATGGAAATAGCCCAGTCATAGACCCCACTGCCTTGAAGAAGAGCTTTATGGAGAATTTGTGTGCTTCCAGACCTGTCTCACTGACAACATGGGCACAAATTAATTTAAGTTCTATCTGCAGTATCTACCTTCATCGTTTTAAAGGTGTCTGTCAGAATTTGATACCCCCTGAGGAAAAAAAAAAACACCAAACCCACAGGAAGCTTTTCTGCTTTTTCTTCCCCTTAAATGTCCCTGGTGTTTGCCCCTGGAGGTGTTTGTATTTGATTAATGAAAACAGAAGCAGAAGGATTTTGGCACTGGGGCCATCACAAAAAAAATAGGAAAGGTCATCACTCAGTTGAAAAGAAATTTGCATGCTGTTGTGTCTGTTCAATACTTTGTGTTTTCATGGTGAAATAGCATGGAGTGGTCACTGCTAATTAATAGCTGTTTGAAAGGCTGCAATAAATGGAGCCAAGAAAAGTGAAACGGCAGAAAAGCAGCATGAAGAGCAGGGAAAAAAAAAACAAACACACTCCCAAATCAGTAAGATCCTGCTTTTCAGCTGGGAGAACTGCTATTAGTTTGGGTAATTGTTATTTTTCCACCAAAATGAAGATTCAGGTGGTAAAGAGAGCTGATTCAGGGAAGACAGATAACATTGCGCTGTTTGCAGCCTGTTAGAGCAGAACACACACAATCTGTGTTGTTTTTTCCCCTTCCTTTTTCTGTTTTTTAAGTAGTAATATCTGAAGCTGTCCCCAATGGCAGTCTGCATGTGGGGGGTAAAATCTGGAATTCCCTAATTTCTCCTATTTTCTAATAAAAACTATTACTGTACAAATGTAGGGGTTTTTTTTTCCCCCTTACTTTAAATTGGAATGGTTTTAAAGGGGTGTTTTTTGGTGTAGCCTCTGAAAGTTGGGGTCCCCTGGTGATTGTGATCACAGTCTCACCGAAAGCACTTGGGTTGGGGTTTGTTGTTGGTTTTTTTTTTTTGACATCAAATTAATATTCTCATCACTAAGTGTGAAGTAAAGATTTGACAATAGAGCGGCTTCCTCTTTGTTAAAAACTTGCAAAGAGTTTCCGAGTTGAAAGGCTGAGTAAATCTTTATATCTGAGGAGGTAAGCTGAGTGTTATTTCTTGTTTTTAAGAGCGCTGTACTGGCGAGCTGCAAGCTGTCTGAACATTGGAGAGAGACCCTTTGGGAGCTCCATTGGTTTTCAGCAAGTCTTTGCATGCAGTGTGTTTGTACTAGCTGAAGACAGCGCATGGCTCTCTAAATAATTTACAAGTTGATTAATAGACTCACATGGGTATAATTAGAAGAGGGAGAGAC